AAGTATACAGAGTTAATCTCAGTAATCTTCAAATTTATGGGTCTGGCTGATCAAATGGCGCTTGGAGCATGCAGGCAACTTTAAGACTTATATCTCCACTCTGAGGATCATGTAGTGCGAGAAACAAGCAGGAGCAGACGGGAATATGTTCTTCTAATGGTTGGCTCTTTCTTATTTGCAGCTTTCTGACTTGGAATCAGTATAAGGACGCAAGAATGGCTACTTGGTGCTAATAACCATGCTATGTAAACTTACGCGCTGTGGTATCACAGAATATAGGCGGGTTACACACTCTCCCTAAATAATTATCCACTCTTGATACAAGGAATGCAAATACAAAATGTTAATGGACAGTATAACTCACTGTAGTATGTCACAGTAACAATAAGAAATGTCTTATGATTGTCAGTTTTGACCACCACCTTGCATGCATAGCTGACATTAATTTTTATAGAGGTTCTCTTAGTCTTATGGTACTTCTGGAAAGAAGTCTTTAGACAGTGTCACTGTGTTACCTTCCTGCTAGAAACTCTAAACTTTGTCCCAATTTAATGTCACTGTCATGGCTCCATGCAGGACTGATTGCTAAGGCATCTTAATTTTTAATTCCCCGATCTGCATGAAGGCAAATAAATGTACTACTTATAAAAGTGTCCAGATATTAGAGAACATGTTACAGTATATGTCATGTAGCTGGTATCATTTCTCCTTTACTAAGAGTAGACATGATATTGTACTCTTGATGCTATGCAAAATAAATGAAGTAATATTTAGTGTATTTAAAGAAGAGGAACCACTTATTATGCATGTAATGTAACCATTGTATTTGCTCATTCAAATGCTAGGATTATGCCATCATGATAATATGATTAAGAGTTTCCTGTTACCCACCCACACATGCCTACATCACTACTCATTATAACAGTTATTCATTAATTAATAAATTTATTATTTAAAGTTTATTAATAGTCAATAGTTATTAATAGTCACTACAAGGTATGACAGACTGTAATATTGAAATGACATAATAATATATCAGCACAATGTAAACACACTTATGTGTGTGGGGGACAGTATTTAATTGTTACGACGAGTTTTCATCTCTGTGAACTTGAGAGTATAGTGTCTTTTCCAATGCCACCAAGTAATTCCTTGATCATTACTAATTGAAGTATTAAAATAGCGACCATTAAGATTTGAATGATAGCAGCCATCATACCACCAGGCACCAGTATCGATCTGAGCACAGTTAACTCCTGACCATGGATCATTATCATTATCTCTTGTACTGAATCTCCTTCCATTATGAGTGGCCAGACTATCCCCAGCAGTACCAGAGTATCCTCCTACTGTTAATATATATTCAGTACTACCATCACTAACATTAAATGTAGAGTAGTTAGCA